TTATCTAGGGTGAGAAAAAGAAATAGGCTTCTTATTACTTCTCTTCTTTTCCTTGTGTTCCTGGAATAGCTACCCATGGGTCCAATTTAGAAACAAGGAGGGATAATGAAGAGCCACTCTTTAATTACACAATCAGTTCACATTTCTTTAGGGAGTTCTCTACTTCTTCAATGCAATTGGAGAGATCCATGCAGACTGAATAGGATGAGTTCAGGGGCTCCTTGGCATGACTAGATTTTTTTTGGGGGGGTCTGGTCATGAGGCCTGAACTCTGAGCCTGGGCACTGTCCCTCAGCTTGTCAGCTCAAGGCTAGCACTCTACCACTTGAGCCACAGCGCCACTTCCAGCTTTTTTCTTTTTGCTTATGTGGTGCTGAAGAATCAAAGCCAGAGCCTCATGCTTGCAAGGCAAGTGCTCTAACACTGAGCCACCTTCCCAGCTCCATGAGTGGATTTTTTACAGGAGGAAAAGGAAGACCTCTGGTTCAGGCCAGAAGAGACAGGGAGAGAAATTGTCTCCGAGTTGCATCTTCCAGTCATAAGACTCAACTAGATTTGTAAGTACATTAGATGGGACTATGTGTGGTTGAAGGTGACGGTACCCCAAGTCTGCAGGTGTCACTCTGGCAAGATGGCCACTTTTGACTCATCTGTAACCCTAACTCCCATGTCTTCACTTCAGCTCTGTCCTTCTCTGAAAATAGGGCTTGCATTACCATGCTTGTAGGCAACCTGTGATGTGCTCATCTTCTAGGGAGAAGGAAATGGAAGGGAAAAATAAAGAAAGAAAAGGAGACATGCTAGCTGAGTTCATGCCATCCCTTTGGTGAACACTTGTTTCCTGGAAACCTCCCCAGGAGAGTTTTCTCTTATTTCTCATTTTCTAGCACCTCCAGGTAAATAAAAAAGCCAGAGTAATCAAGAACTTTTCACATGGCCACATTATCAACTAGTCCATAAAAAATGTGCTTCTCTTAATATTAAGATAGAAGAAGGATAAAAGGAACACAATATGTAGTGTGTGATCTAAGATCCATCCTCAGTGTTTCAAAGGAAAGTGCCTTGGAACCAACAAATGTCATTGGAAAAGTCTTCATCTAGAATTGCACCACCAGTAAAACTTTCAAAGACACAAGATTGTCAGGTATCTACTTGCTTCCTTGCTTCCTTTCTTTCTTCCTTTCTTCCTTCCTTCCTTCCCTCCCTCCCTCCTTCCTTCCTTTCTTTCTTCCTTCCTTCCTTCCTTCCTTCCTTTCTTTCTTTCTTTTTTTCTTTCTTTCTTTCTTCTTTTCTTCCTTTCTTTCATTTTTTTTTGGTATCTGCTTTATTTTACCACAACAACCATTGGCCACAGGGGACAATTGAGATGTAATATGTGATTAATGAAGAATGGAAAATGGAGCATTAAATTTTAATTTAAGAAATCTAAATCAGTGCCTGTGGCCAGTGACTCTTGTATGGATATTGGACAATGAGGGAACAGAGCCACATTGATAGATGCTTGGCACATCGGAAGAAAAGGCAATGAGAAAACAAAACCAAACAAAAAACCTATAACACTCTTGTCGGTCCAGATGCTAGAAGTTTCTCTGGACAAGAATGATCTATGATAATCCATTCTACAGTAATTTCACTGCTGACACTGCTAGAGTAGCAGAGTTGTTCTCCATGAGATAATTCTCAAAGCTAGTTTACTATCCCTTAGTTCTTCCACTCTATAAGCTTAAGTGACAACACACTCAGAAAATCTAGCTTAAACCACTTTTGTGTTCTTTTTTTTTTTAATCTCAAATTTTCGGAGCATTCCACTCACTAGGCCTGTTGTATGGGACATTCTCCATTTGCTGTCTTGTTTTGTTCTTTTCTTGCTGGATTTTAGTAGTTGTCTATTATTCCTGTACCTTAGTCCTTTTTTTCCAAGTCTTATTTCTCCATGAGTTGGCTTACTCGCTTCTAACCTCTAAATGTCACTTAATCTTTCAAATGCCAACATTTTAGGCCCTGATCTGCCTCTGAGCTTCAGGTATGAGTCAGCTTCTTCCTTGAATTTACAACTCAGTTTCTTAAGATCTCTAATATACAGGAGGTTCAGATAGGCACCAATTACTACTTTCAATCTCTTACTCCTGAAATTTCCATATTTTATAAGTTGCATGGTTATTTTGGTTATTTTTCTGCCAGAAAATCAGCTGTTTCCTTTCTTCCCATACCATATCCAGTCCAACAGCCTGTTTCTTAGGCATAGGTTCTAGGACCACAATAGGTCTCTATGCATTTCTCTGCATTGCTGCTGCCACCTCCCTACCCACAGCTCCACATAAATTAAAGAATGAAAGAGAGAAGACAAGGAAGGAAGAAAGGAAGGAAAGAAAGAAGGAAGGAAGGAAGAAAGGAAGGAAGGAAGAGAGGAAGGGAGGGAGGAAGGAAGGAAGGGAGGAAGGGAGGGAGGGAAGAAGGAAAGAATGAAGAGAGGGTGGAAGGGAGGGAGGGAAAGGGGAAAGGGAAAGAAGGGAAGAACAAAGGCAAGAGTAGAGAGAGAGGGAGTGGGAATAAATGAGGGAAAGAGGGAGGCAGGAAGAAAGGGGAAAAGAGAGAAGAAGGGAGGGAGAAACATAAGGCAGGAGAAGAAGAATGGGAGGGAGGGAGAGTGAAGGAATGAAGGGAAAGAAAGGAGGGAGAAAATTCAAAGGAAAGGCCATGCCTTCCACTTGTGACTATTGGTAAAAATCTTGGTGTAGTTATTCACTGACCTTTAAAATTAAAGCAAACTTAAATGTCTAGTATGGGAAAAGCATTCCTAAATGAGTAAAGGCATGGGTTCAGAAAAGCATGTGAAATGTACAGGAATTGTTGGATTAGTTCGGTGAAAGGAAGAAGAGAAAGCCTATGATTAGAAAAATACCTTCAGGTTCTAAATTTTATTTTAACGTAAAATACATTAAGGAGTTATTCAGAACTAGAGGCCAGGGTGTGATGTACGTAAAGGTTTGCTGTAGGGAATGAGAAAGAATGCTGGGACATAGTGGCGAGGTGTCTCAAAGGTGGATGGTGCTGATACAAAGCAGACACTTGGAGGTGGTCTCAATGAAACTTGACAACTAGTGAGGAATGTGGAGGATATTCAAACGTTATTGAAAACATTTTGTTCTGCTAGACTGGAAGCAGAATTGTCCCATCCAAGGAAATGGGAATAAAGAAGACTGACTTCCGTGTTGGCTGTTGGAAAGGAAATTATGCATGGAGATCTGGAAGAATGAGTTAGGAAGTTAATAGACCACAGAGTAGGAGACCATAGGAGTGTAGGAAGTGGAGGTTCAGCCATGTGATCACTGTGATTATCACACATCTTATAATCTGATGAACTTTTCAATCCATTTGGAGAGGGAAATAAAGGTGATTCAAAATAGAGGATAGAGCATAGCTCTGTTTATCATGTCAGAAGAACAGAGACATAGAGACAAGGGAGAATTGTCAAAGGACAAGAAGAGTCCGGCAATCAGGGCAGACTTTGAATGGGGAAAGAAACAGCCCATGAATGTTGAGTGCATCCCTTTAATAGACAACACTACCGGAGAAAATTAGCATTTATGAAAAGTCTGCCAGACTTCTTATTTTCTAAATTGATCACTAGAGGAAATGTGACAGAATGGAAAATGTGTGGACATTCAAATATGAGGAAAGAGTCAAGATTGATCTAGTGTTGTTCAACTATGTGATTTTAAGTATAATTTCTATTCCTCAGGCTCATTTCCTGACTGAAGGATGGGAATAATAAATAGATGCTAAGACTTGGGGTGATACTGAGTTTTATATATTGCCACATGTGGGTAAGAAGAAGCTATTGGAAATAATTCTGTAAAGAGAATTCTCTTTTGAATAACCCATTGGCTTTCCAGTAACTTCCAGATGGTCATGTACTTTAGAAAACCATGGCCTGGCTTCACGGGTGGCTGTGTTAAATTAATTATAACAATGAACTGAAAACAAGCGTTCGTTATTAATCTTTTCTGGTGAAGAAATGAGTGCCAGGGAGCAGATGGATTCAAATTTGCTGTTGAAGGTTCGGCTAGAGCAAATAGTCAAATGCTAATGATGTCAGTAGCTTGAGAGAAACTGGCCAGTCTCAGTGGTGATCGCGTATGTCTCAGAGAGACGAACTAGACCCACTGCGCACCTCATGTTTGAGTTCACAGCCCCTAGAACATAGCCATTTGCTATGTTCATAATAGACACTTAGGAAATCCTTTCCAGGCAAATAAGTGAGTCAGACAGACCTGACACATGTCATGGAAAGGAATAAGACATGGATGGAAATAAAGAATTAAACTGGCAAATTATGCAAGCCCGTGGAGTGTAGGTGGCAAACACCTAGAGGGGTGCATGTGTGCAGGTACAACTCACAAATGCTGTGTTGCAGAGAAACCAAAAGATTGGAATGGATATGAGCAAAAAATAAGAAAATAATCCCAATGTGATTCTAAACCTAGTATTGTGTTGAACTCCTTTTCCTTAATAGAGACACATTACTACTTGTACTTCTATTTGTTAGCAGCTGGAGAGAGGCACAGAAGTAAAGCAATAGCAAGGGTCTTTTGTTTTTTTATTACGAAGCCATAGGAGAGCAATGAATAACTGTGGCAAGCAATGGTTACGTGAGTGGACTTACAAATTGGGTTTCCGTATTTTTGGTGTGCAAAATGAAGATAGCACTGAGACTCCATACTGATAAGGATATAAATGAGGAAGTATTCCATTTCAAAAACATGGATGTTGTAATTCCATTTGAAATTATTTTAAGATTTCTGCCTCTCAAGTCCATCTCGTGCTGCATTCCAATTCATCACATTAAGCTTGGTCTCGAATGACTTTTTTTTTCTTTCAAACAGTGACAATGCCAAATGCACAATGCATGACAGGAGAGAGCGTGCTGTTGAAAACTCTAACTCCAATGGTTATCTACCCAGCTCATCCTCTCCTCCCCCTCCCTGTGCCTTTCACAGGCCATGGCACGTGCTCCTGTGGTCGTTGTGTTTGTGAGCGAGGGTGGTTCGGAGCACACTGCCAACATCCGAGGAAATGTAACATGACAGAAGAGCAAAGCAGGAGCCTGTGTGAATCGGCAGATGGCATATTGTGCTCTGGGAAGGGTGAGTATGTCTGCCTGAATCTGGACTGTACTTCTGTTCTGACACATAGCTTGTAAGACGTCAAACAGCAACCATCCTGCCCATTAACCAGAAGAAGGTTAGCATCTAAGATAATGAAACACTGGAGAGAAACACATGAAAAAGAAGATCAGGCCAGGTGCTGGTGGCTCACACCTGTCATCCTAGCTACTCAGGAGGCTGAGATCTGAGGATCACGGTTCAAAGCCAGCCTGGGCAGGAAAGTCTGTGAGTTTCTTATTTCCAATAAACTACCAGAAAACCAGAAGTGGCACTGTGACTCAAGCATTAGAGCACTAGCTTTGAGCTGAAGAGCTGAGGGACAGTGCTCAGGCCCAGAGTTCAAGACAAAAAAAGAAGAAGAAGAAGAAGATCATTGGTCACTGCGGACAAAGTTGTGGCTCAAAGATAAAATGGATCATTTTAATGACCAGTAGGATGGAATAGACAAAAACCAGGAGAAAAGGCAAAGGATAGTCTCTGAGTTTAGCTCAGACATAGCACAGACCAGATAGGATATTATTCTTGAATTTCTGACATGTGTCTGTAGAAGAAGTGAGAGGATTTCATGTAAAAATCATAGGGGAAAAGCTAAACCTTTTCATGAAAAAGGAAATGAGTATATGAGTCTCCTAATTCTGATATGATTTTCTTTGCCTTAAAAACTACCAATTGTGGCCAGGCACCAGTAGCTCACACCTGTAATCTTAGCCAGTCGGGAAGCTAAGATGTTAAGATTGAAGTTTAAGCCAGCTCCAGTCAATGAAACTCCTATCTTGAATTAAGTACTAAAAAACCACAAGTGGAGTTGTGGCTCAAGCTCAGGGACAGTGCCCAAGTCCTGAGTTCAAGCCCCAGGATCAGCACAAAACGAAATTATGAATTGTTCTAAGCAAACATGTATAACCTAGTGTAAGTAAATAGACAATAATAAAACAAAAGAGAAAAATACCAGCAAAGAATAGTTATGACCTTCAAGTTGATTGGCTAGAAGCCAGCCACCCAATCAGAGATTTACCACAGAAATAGATATGATGAAAAAGTAGACCATCCCTTGCACACACTACCATTCTTACACACAAACCATACACACACACACACACACATGCACACACACACACACACACACACACACACACCACAGCAGTCTTTTTCTGATAAAGACTCAAATAGGTTAAATTTTAGACACCTTACTTTTGGACAATGTTTGCTTTTGAATAATATTCCACTAGGGTTCAACTCAGGGCTGGATACTCTCTCTTGGCTTTTGTGCTCAAGGCTGGCACTCTACTAGCTGAGCCATACCTTCACATCTAGTGTTTTATTGTTTTTTATTATTATTATTGTGAAAATACTGTACAGAAGGGTTACAATTACATGGGCAAGATAATGAGTACATTTCTTATCAAGCATTGTTGCCTCCTCCTTTGTTTTCCCCTTCCCATCCCTTCCCATCTCCCACTTCCCTCCTCTCCTCACCCTCCCACCCCCCCACCCCTTGGCCAACATTGTGAAGTTCATTTTTCAACATAAGGACTTGTACATCCCATTGTTGCAATGGGTCCACGTGTATCCCTATTTAAATGATTTGTTTTTGCCCTTCCTCTCCAAAAATTATACCAACATCAAATACAATGAGAGCAGGGGTTATACTGGGGGAGGGAGGGGACACATACAAAGCAACAAAGAAATCATCTTATAAATATGTTAGAAACAATCGCATGAAAGAAAAAAACATTTGAATACTTATCTTGGGGTTTATTTCACCTAACAACAACTTATCTGACCTTTTCTGCTTGTCTCAGAAATATACTAGTTATTGCAGATAAGGGAAACCATGGGCCCTATGTTTCTTTGGGCCTGGCTTACTTAAGTGAAGTTTTTTTTTGTTTTTTGTCGGTCGTGGGGCTTGAACTCTGGGCCTGGGCACTGTCCCTGCGCTCTTCAGCTCAAGGTGAGCACTCTACCATTTGAGCCACAGCACCACTTCTGGTTTTCGAGTGGTTTATTGGAGATAAGAATCTCATGGACTTTCCTGCCCGGGCTGGCTTTGAGCTGAGATCCTCAGATCTCAGCCTCCTGAGTAGCTAGGATTACAGGCGTGAGCCACCGGCACCCAGCTTCACATCTAGTGTTTTGTTGATTAATTGGAGGTAGTTTGTCTGTCCAGACTGGCTTTGAACTGTGATCCTCAGATCTCAGCCTTCTGTGTGCTAGGATGACAGGTGTGAGCCACTGGTACCTGGCTTTGAATATTACTCTTTTTTTGCTGGTTCTTGAGCTTGAACTCAGGGCCTGGCTCTGTCCCTGAGCCTAGCTATGCTCAAGGCTAGCACTCTACCACTTGAGCCACAGCCTCACTTCTGGCCTTTTCTGTTTATGTGTTACTGAGGAATTGAACCCAGGGCTTCAGGCATGTGAGGCAAGCACTCTACCACTCAGCCACATTCCCAGCCCTGAACAATATTCTTGAAAGAACTTCAAGAATCATGGCACTTACCACTCATCGAAAGTATCATAATCCTCCTTGCCTTATGATTAGGACAACATGAAGCCTAGTGACTCTCCCACAAGTTGGAGAGTTGACTTTTGTGCAATTGGAAGTTTGGAGTAGCCTGGGTCTCCCTTAGCTTCGCAGTTTCGTGCAAAGGAAGGTTCTTCCCTAACTACTGTCTTACTATATACACACACTTTCAGATGTAGCACTAGTTGAGCATGTCATTCCTTTGTAAAGAGGATACTGTGGAGCAAAAATGTCATAGAGATGCCAAGTAGTGCTCTCTAGAAGTCCAGAGATGCCATCATGGCCCATGAAGCTCTCTGAGAGCAGGATGCACCATGGGTATTCTATACCCAGATTGCAGCTCCTACCAAACAAAGCCTGTGCTTGAAGTGACTGCAGAGCTGGGAGCAGATGGAAGGTCTGGCCAGCTGTGGTGCCTGCAGGAAGCCTAAGCAAAAGAGCTCATTTTAATAGACAGCCATGTCCTTGAATTCCAGGAATTCTATTACAGACTTCTGTTTATAGTACTCTCTGGGCTAGGAGACCAGACCTCCATCCAAATGTCATTTCAGAGGCAAATGGCCCTCACATAAGGTTAAAGCAAGAACTTTGTTCCCTCGGTTCAGTCTCCTATTAAATTGTATGCAGTCCGAAGCCAACCAGACCTTCCTATGATCCAACCATTGTGTACCTGGATGGACTTGCTTTGGAGCTCGATGAAGAAATGTAGGAAAAAAGATTTATCACTTGATACTGTTTTGCTTGGTTTTCATTCACAGAGTAATCATTGGAATAAGCTTTCCATTGAAAAGCCAACAAATGAGGATCTCTTCAGACTGAAGTCTTAATGTGCTCCTTTATATCTGCTTATTTTGAAAAGTGTATGTACATACATATGTATATGTATGTATATATACATATATGCATAAACATATGCACACATACACATATACACACATACATGTGTGTATATCTCTCTCTCTATAATCACACAAACCCAGATCAATAATGTAAAAGTTTTTCCTTTATAAGGAATAACCATTCTTATCTAATGCCTTAGAGTTTGAGAAAACATTCTCAAGTTTTTGCATGGTAAGTGTAAAGAACAAGAAAAAAATTAAAAACTGACCTACATCAAGCGTGACTCCAAACCAAACCAAAAATTCTGTCTCGTGAATGTCTTTCCAAGTTGCCTGCTTTGGGTGATAGACATCAATGGAAATCAATGATAATGGGTTGAAAGCATATTTTACTAAATGTGTATCACTCAAGTGAAGTGCTTTGGAGTCTTTAGATGATAAAAACAACTGTAAAGGCTGCCCAAAGCCGCACTTTTCCTGAGCTCTTCAGCAATGGGCAGAGCTGTCTCAGGACTGCTTTCTGGTGACATCATTGCTGGGCGACACTGAGTTTACAGTCTTTGGGAGGCAGAAAGGATCATGGGATGTAGTGGCTATTCCTGTTGTCCTTGGGGAATACGATCTCATACTTTGCATAAAAGACACAAGAAGAGCAACTCATGCAATCCACAAGGCATTTCAATGTGATGGCTGAAAATTGTAAGCTGTGTAATTTATCTGATTGGGGCCTAGCATTTCTGCTACATCTCATGGACTTGTCTTTCTCAAATCTGTAGCTAAAATGCCTGCATCCTGATGGTCATGGAAGACTCCCTTTGACAATAGAGCAGGGGTGAGCCCAGGCTTGTGATGGCTGTGGTGGGACATTCAGATTCTCCCTCTCCCAACCACCCACCCCCCAGCAAAAAAAAAAAAGTCTGAACCGTGCACTTGCCACGAGCTGTGAATAAAGCTGTTCCCTCAGGAGACGATGAAGAAAAAGCATTTTATTTCTTTACAAATTTATAGCCAAGACAATAAATCACTCCATAGAAAAATTTAAAACAAGATACATTGTTGTGACCTTCGTAACAGATGGAGTCGTTAGTACAATAGTGAAAACTGCCTGCTGGGATGTCAGATTGCAGCATTTTGTCAGGCTTGATGAATGAAAAAGGAAGTCCAACCAATGCGAATCATGGAATGGCGCCTTGCCCTTAGGCTCCAATTGTTAGAAATAACTTAGAGAGATATATATGTTTGATGGCCAAATCTCCCAAAGGGTTTACCTATCATATACTAAAATACAGGATATTCATAGCCTTGTTTGCTATTTTGGCAGATTTATTTATTTGGATTCAAGATGACAACATATGTTTTTAACCTTAATATCTTGAGCCCAGTCTCTCATGTTCTTAAGGATGCTGTGTGTGTCAATGGTTACAATTACATGCCATTCAATGTCCCTTTAAACTCTCACAATGACATTCATTGGGTCCTAAATCATCCAGTAAATTCAAACCATACCACATCATCCACGTATCTCTTTTTGCCAGCTCCCTGTCCTATATCCCCTAAGAAAGGGGATAGATAAAATTTATGTTTTGAAACATGGGCCCAACGTTCTGCTTACCCCATCCAATATAGTTGCCTATCAAATCTGCAACAGCTAATAACTCACTTTGAAAGTATGTGAACTTTTTTTTTTAAGTCTGTGAGAGTCATCACAGGGAGATAGCTAGACAGTAGATTGAATCAGAAGAAAATCTTAAAATAACTGTTTTTTATTGCCTCTGTGGTCCTAGGCAATTCCCTTACCCATTCTATTCTTCCAATCTTATATCTAAAAGTAGAAATGTCTATTTCTTTCCCCTTCTAGTGTTCTAAGGATGTTCCAAAGACACATGAAAAAATGTGGCTGATTTCCCCAGGAATGAAAGCCAGCTAAAAGCACAGAGGGAGGTAGAATATTCTTAAGGATTTCTACATTGAGAAAAGCAGGATTAGTGGTGGTGTTGTGAATTTACCACCTTAGAACTCCTGCCAAGATGAGCCAACTGCTTCCCCTATGCTGGTCCGGAGTTGGTAATTCCCAGATAACTGAGTTGAACAATGTGGGCAGTCAGGCAGCCTACGTCTACCAGACAAAATCTTCTCAAGTATTTCCCACTTCAGAGGACAGTCCACTCCTGTTAGCAGTTATTGATGGTAACATCCAGAGCACTCTATGAGAAAAGTGCTGTAGTAGGTCCTAATAGCTATTCACATTGTATTGTTATTACATGCTATGCTACTCCTAGTTATACAAGCAGCAGAAGAATTTCCTATCACTAAAATGCATTGAGCTAATCCATTAACAAACAGGGGAAAACACCAAGGCAGGGAAATGCTGACCAAAAGAAGCTACAATTTCATGGTACATACAAACCAGTCTTTTTCTAAGTGTTTCATGACTAGTAGATCTTGGCATTAGAATTTACCTGTCACATGCGCTATCTGTCTAAACCATATTAACTTGTGTTTAGCTTACCAGTTTTAGCAAAATGCTTAGCTCAGTATTCTAGAGTAGTGAGTAGAATAGTTCCAGGAGCAGGAAATAAGTATACGATGAAATGTGAGGCCCTTTCATGACTTGTGACACACACGGGCATTTACAATCATTTACTTAAGTTGTAGAAATAAATTTGCAGCAGAAGGGAGATTTAGAAACAGCTAAAAATAGTCAAAGCCTTTAAATAATTAGTCTTTCTCCACTCACGGAAATAAAATATTGAACTATGGTGCCTTTTAAAGAATTTCTCTAATAGTCAATGGAATGTCCCATCACTAACCATTGTTAAATAAGCATCCCTAGAAATTCCAAAGAAAGGCTTTAAAGTGAGAATAAATACTATTCTAAAATAAGGAAACGTGGCATTGGGATGAGTCAAAACGGTCACCATCTCTTCCATCCTGACCTGCGCAGACCAGTTACCAAGGTCCTGAGCAGAGTCTAGATTGTCAATCATTCCTGGGACATGCAAGATGGCTGAACATTGTCAATGAGTTTGCAAACTAATACAGAGCCTTGGGAAAAGAAGTCAAGACTAAATGAAATTAAGTTATAATTAAGCAAGACATTTTTTTTAAAAAGGAACTGTAAACATAGTTCTCACCATGTGACTAATTCTGACTTCTCTCTTCTTTTGAGATGTCTGACAAGGAATGGTCCAAGTTCAACTCGGCCATTGGGGATTCTTTTACCTAAACTGTATCTATCGATTTCCATGATAGGAATACTACATAGTATTTCATGTTTGGGATACATGAACTTTTCAACTTGGATTCTTTCAAAGATAACTATAATGCCATTTCCCTAGTTTCTAGGTTTCCTGATTTCCATTTCCCCAAATTGTCAATTATCCTCCGATCACAGAGATTGAGTAGAAGCACTCATGATTGCTTCCCACTCACCCACAATACATTTGCACTTACCGAGTTTGGATTTTATTAACTGTGACAATACTTTTACTGTTTCACATTTTCTCAGGGTGATTTTTGAATCAGAAAAAAAAATAGCGCTATCTATAGCCATCTTTTAGTAAAAGGAAAGTTGCATTCAAAAAGAATAATCAATGCCCCCCTCCGAAAAAAAAAATGCAAGGAGAAATTCTTTTGAATTTGAAAGTTGTCTCTCTTCCTACAGTGGAAAGAAATAGTTTTTCAACATGAAGATATTTTAGCCTGTCATAAAAAAATTTGAGAAAACTCTCTTCTCTTTTGGACCTTATATAGCTCCTATTTTAATTTATTTTAAATATACTACTAGTAAAAGTCTCAGTAACCAAAAAATATTTATTTTTTCATAATCAGAGCAGTTTTCTAGTTAGGTACAAGGAAAGGAAGAACAGTAAAGTAGTGGGAAAGGAGATTAAATTTATTTGGGGTGGATTTGTGCTATCCTTGATTGTGGCAGAAACCCTGAAGATGAAGTCTCAAAGTGATAGTATGCATATTTTATCACTTTAGTTAGCCACTCCATATGTATATGTATGTGTCCAAGTACATACGTGACAAAGGAAACAAGAATTTGAAGGCACGGAGTGGGCTTGGCATAGAAGAGGCATGGGGGAAAGGTGACCAAAGGGGAGACAGTGATCAAAATGGATTGTACGTGTAAGTTGACACCTTGATTTGGAATCCCTTTACACAACTATTTAAAGGTAATAAAAGTAAATTGATTTAAAAGAAACCCATGAAAACAAACATCTAAATGATGAGCTTAATAATTGAGTAGTTATTTTAATTGTAAAATGCACTCTCATGTAATAGAATTTACTATTGGCCTAATTCAAAGAACTGACACTTTAATATATGACTCAGTTTAGAATAAATGAAGAAAACAACAACAATAACAACAAAACACCTATTTTTGACCACCTTTCTGGGAGACCAGCTCTAAGAAGCAGCCACTTTCTGTTCTCATTGACATTTCAATGAGACTGGGCCAGGGAACATTTGCTCAAGGCTAATTGCCACTGTCTAGATTCATAATGAAGTCTTTCCTGGTTGACCTTTATGAATTACAGTAAGTAAAGCTCCCCTCTGAGAAAGCAGCCATTCAATAAACTTTTACCTTTGGAAGACAGGTTATGAGAAGCCTATTGTCAGTATGTCTGCACTGTTCTATGCTAGATGGAAACCTTCAGTTAGCTAACAGCAGTGAGTAATGCGCTTTGTGATTTCAGGTTCTTGTCACTGTGGAAAGTGCATTTGTTCTGCAGAAGAATGGTACATTTCAGGGGAATTCTGTGACTGCGATGACAGAGATTGCGACAAACACGATGGTCTCATTTGCACAGGTGCGGTGTTCAGCTACTCTAATTGTTCCATGCCACAGATTACTGTAGGGCCAAATGACACTCCACAAATGCTATTTTAAGTGCTTAGACAAGACAGCTTCCGTACAATCAAGCTAGGAGTGTCAATATGAAGTAACTATAAAAACAGAGTAGGCATCTGTGAATAAGCACTCCCATGATCCCTAGGCACTGAATACAAGAGAATGAAGCAGAATAAATGATTTTTAGGAAAATTCCACAAGGTAGCTCACTCTATGAAATCACACAATGTCAGTCATACTGATAACAGAGGTCTCTTGACTGCCATCCTATTTCAAGTGCAGTGGAGAGGACAAATGCTTATTTTTAGCAGGACTCGGGTGCCTTTATTGTTGTGCTGGTTGTTTTCAGGAGGTAGAGTGGTAGGAGCAATGCATAAACCAGCTGATCTGTGTCATAGTCTGTATACTATCATTTATTAGTCTTAATAATTGGGTATACATAATTTTTGCTTAAAGTGTAGGGAAAGTAAAGACATATAAATTTCTTCTTTATGGAAAATAAAAGTGTGACATGGTCACAAAGCTGAGTAATACAGAATACTAACTATTTGATTGACAAATCTTGGCATCAAATGGATGTTATTGGTGGCTTGAGTTCGCTCAGATGCTTAACAAAATGTGATGTTATTGCACAGTAAGGAAATTGACAGAGGATGAATAGAATGGTTTTCTTATGGGTAGTTATGGTTTATAATAGCCTATTTGAATTGTGCATTTTGATCGTTGTGTGTATTTTGTTGCAGGGAATGGAATATGTAGCTGTGGAAACTGTGAATGCTGGGATGGATGGAATGGAAATGCATGTGAAATCTGGCTTGGCACAGAATATCCTTAAAGACTTCTACGGAAGAGGATTGGATTCTTATTTTCCAGGCCATTTTAGGACATAGAAGTACAGAAGAAACCATGTATACTCAACACTAGGACAAATTTGACAGGCTATTGTATGTTTTTGCTATTTCTGACCACCTGAATGAAATCTGGGTATCTATTAGAAACATGTCCAGCCAACTCTGTGGTAAATAACACAAGAATAATTTCTCCCCCCATAATTAATATTAGTAGCTCTCAAGGAAGGCAACATTGCCATCCAGAAGAAATTTGTCAATGGCTACAGGCAATTTTGATTGTGTGTGTGTGTGTGTGTGTGTGTGTGTGTGTGTGTGTGTAGGGGGACAATACTATGAGTACCTACTGGGTAGAACCCATGGATGCTGCTAGATGCCCCTCAGTGCACAGAGTGCCCCTGAGAGCCAACATTTTTCTCTGATTCCAGCTGATGGTACCAGACTTGGAAATCCACATTCTATCACTAGAAAAAAATATTAGAATCTAGAGAAAAGATATATTCTCCCATATGATTTCAGGATTTCATATCACCAGCATTTCTATTTAGGGACAATGAACACACACACACACACACACACACACACACACACACACACACATACAAGAGGTATGATGTTGGTGATGTTGCATTAGACAGATCACCAGACCATGAGTGCTTCAGAAAGGAAAAGACTGGTTGTATTTGTCTGATTTTTGTGTTAAACTCACAAAAGAAGAGCCCCTTAAGATAAATGAAGAAATTAGGAAAATATACAATTTACCATCTTTTAATAAATAAATTGTTTATACTCTGTGTCTCTGTATTTACCTACTTACAACTAAAAAAAATAAATCAATATGTTAGGAATATCCACTTTAGGTTTCTAGAGATAGGAGTTCTTCTATTATTATATTTTTTGTAGGTTGTAGGGTCTGAACTCTGTGTCCCTCAGCTTTTCAGCTCATGGCTAACACTCTACCACTTGAGCCACAGTGCCCCTTCCTGCTTTATCTGCTTATATTGTGCTGAAAATCGAACCCACAGCCTCATGCATGCAAGGCAAGCACTCTACCACTGAGCCACCTTCCCAGCCCTGAGACTGGAGTTCTTATTGTAAAAATTAGGCAGGGCTTATGCATACAAGAAATCACATAGTTAACTCTTTGAATTACTCTATGTAATGTGGCCCTTAAAAACATAATATCTATTTAGAAGTATGAGCTCAAAACATGCATTTGTTCCTCTTAAAAATCTCTCTTTTTCTATTAGAAAGTAGAGTCATATAAAGAAGTCAAGAACAACTACTGCAATAATATGGAACCTAGCTCAAAAGCTCAGGAGGAGGCCAAAAATCTAGAAATAAATGGTTTACATAGAACTTGCAAATATTCACTCAGTGTTAGGAATAAAATATTTATTTTCTTTGTGGTGAAATTTTGCTCTGTTTGAAATTCACATGAATTATGAAAATGCACAATATTTGGTTCTTCCCACATATGTATACACAACTTGAACTACTTACACATATTGGTTTAGAAAACCTTTAATTATTAGAGCTAAAAACAAAACCAAACAAACAAAACACAAGCATTTTCCCCTCTATGGATTATCTAGTAAAATCCTGAATTAGTGTAACAAAATCATTTCTGTAATATGTTAAGATGAAATATTTTATTTGGAAATTTTATGTTAATGATGTAAATAGATTAGCATCATGGCTTGGACATTTTTAGCCAAATCACCAAAAAGAAGAAAAATAGACATCCACACTATCACTTAAAAATTTAATATTAAATATTATTTAAAGAGAAAATTGACACTGACTTTATAGAATTCATAATATTCTCATCATTAAACAGGTTTATAAAATTATTATCTCTCTCCTGAGATTAGGTTATACAACCATATTTGTTGTATTTCTCTTATCGGGCATGGTAATTGATTTATCAGTTTTGGAGAACTGATAAGTTCTCCAACGTTGACTATAAGTAGTCAAAAATAGTACAAGTATTTTTTTCCTTTTTCCTAGAAAAGCAATTGAAGCCTCAAATAAAGACATTATAATTAATCAATGGTTATATCAATGGTCTATGTGATGGTGCACACAAATACTGTAATTTATACCATTACCACTTGCCATGCAATGTATCTTCAGAAATCTCTCTTTTGGGGCTCAGCTCTCTATAAAGGACTAGACAGGACATAGTGTAGGCTTTGTGAGATATATATATATATACATATACATACATATGTATATGTATATATATATATATATATCAGTAGCATACAATTCTTGTTTATTTTCAACAATTTAAAACTGCAAAAACTAAAAATTAATTCTGAGCACCCAGGCCTTATAAAAAGAGTTTGGGAGTGGCTTTAACTCACATCTGGGCAGATAATTCCCAGACTCTGCACCACTGGGATTATACTAAGTTCCTAGTGGCCACTTATATAACTTCAGTTGGGTCTTAATTTTGTTATAATTCTTTCTATACTAAGGAAACTACCAAAACTATTTGTGGTCTACAAAGAAAGGTACTGGAGAAAATATTATTCCATAAAGTTCAAAATGTGATTTGTCTTAATTGTCAGATGGAAATACGTTCAGCTTAGCCATGCTCTGGGGATCATTGAGTTACAAATGATAGAAAGAAAACTTGAATTACATTATATGTAAGTTCTAACACATGCTTTGCTATGAAAGCAGAAACATTTCTTTTTTTTTGTCTAACAGTTCATATGTGTTTGGGGTTCTAGTAATGCCAACACCAGTGCTATCTATAAAGGAGTGATTGAATTTCCATATTTTGCACTAAAAAAAACAACCCATTGCATGTAAAGATGTAACTTCCTTGGATGTGATTTTGTATTTTGACATTTGTTCCATGACTGGAATAGGAAGGAAAATCATCTATAAAAAGGCAGGGCAGTAACAAAAGCAAAACTCATCAACTTGGACATGTTTGTCACAACTCACAATGGGTTCAATGAACAATGTGCATTGAAGTCAAGTACAGTGCTGGCGTGGTCTTGTCCCATCTGTTAGGCTAACCATCGGCCATCGCCAAGGAATTCCTCCACAGGACTTACAAATAGCAACCGAAGTCCTCAGACACACAAAAAAACAAGTGTTATACCTGCCCTTCCAGGTTCCTGAGACTACCAGGCTCCCAACAGTACCTTGGAAGGAACCTCTTCTACCTGCTCAAATGCAAACACAACCCCTGCCAAGAGATTTCAGAATTAGAACAAAAACCACCCAAGATGCAACTCAGCCTTAGACTAGTACAACTCCAAAACCCTGTTGGTATATCAGTCACCCAGCCCTCTACATCGCCTTCTACACTAAGAAACCTTAGCTGCATTTTACTCCAAAGTAATATAATTTATATTCTGGATGTCATTGAGTTTGCTTTTTGGAAAATAACTGAGCATTTAGCTAATTGTTTTCCCTGGATATCACCTTTTCCTAGAGGAAAACTGAAAGTATGTTCAAATTATTTTCACTGCTTTACGAACTGAATCTTTTATCAACCTGGCTCTCTTTCTTGGGGAGGTAGCAAACATTAACTCTTTCTCTGTAATACTGAGGAGAAATTGAAATGGTAATATATGTCTAACTTAAAGGACAAGGAAATTTTTATCATCATGTTAAAGGGAATCAAAAAAAATATCAGCAAGAATTAAGCAAGAGGTCAAGCATGATAAAGAAACTGAGAGGATAGAAGACTTGAGGGCCATTGTAGATTTCCTTAGCCACCCTTCCTCCAAATACTCAGAACGTTCAACACACAGAGCAAAATTCTCTACCTTCTTTAGATTTCATGACAAAAGAATGCTTCCCTCCACTGGGCTCTTTTCAGGAGATAGACATTTGCATGTCTTCTATAATAATATAGATATTTTAAATACAATGGTAGTAAACTTTGGAAAGAACACATTAGAAAACAAACATGATGTCACTTGAAATCAGAAGAGTTAAGATTTTTGAGTGTTGTTGAGGGATGGTAAAGCAATTGTGTATCACAACAAATTGGTAGAAATAGCCCTCCCTCACCAGGTATGCATGCAGAAGGAATAGGATCTTACAGAAAGTCAATACAATAGACATATGCACATGGAGGTACAAAACACACAGGCTATGAATACAAATGAATTCCATCAGATTTACTATACAGAACATTGAGAGTGACAAGTAGTACTTAGTAATAGCAAACTTAATTTTTGAGGGGAAAAAAATAATGAAGTCTTATCCTGGAAGAATAGCAAGAGAGGTATCAGAAAGAGCTAAAATTTTCTTTGGCATGAGAAAGGGGGAGATTGAGTTTACCAACTTATTTACATGACATTTCTCTATATAGAGTGGTGACACAATGCCATTTAGTTACATAAAATGGTTTGATTTTTTATATGCCATCATATAAATATTTGATTCCATGTGTTGTATTTGTAAACACAACAAATGATAATAAATACAGAACTGCAAATGCAGACAACTCTTCGTATGTAAATCGAGTAATAATCGAGTAATACATACCAACAGCTCTTGATACACAGGTCCTACTACATGCAATTCATGAACGCTGTCCTCTTTCCATGCAACAGGCGAGACCCAATACGGGTAAGTGGCCTAACTAAATCACAAACAACAAGGACCCCTCTGCAACACGACGAAAACACTTATTTGAAGAAAGTAGTTTGACATCCACTAATAATAATAAATGCCCTTGTAGACAACTCTTAACAGACCAAAAAGAGGCATACATTTACATAAATCACTGTCATTTACAAAAATAAATCCCAATTTCAACCAATAAGCAGTCTTACAGGAGAGAAAAAGCCTCAAACTGAGCTGATTATAAAAAATGAATAGGTTGGCTTGTGTGGGGCTTGTGTATATGTAGCAGTGTAAGCAGTGTGCATAAACTCATTGTTACAAATCAATTAATGATTTACCACATATTATGGGATATACACTGTCCCTAAAAATTATTGGTTGGTGCAGTTTATCTGTCTTTTCTCCTTGCTAAAAATGAAGGACAAACTCTGGGACGGCAGACCATCAAATCAAGAATGGCCAAAGGAACCATGACATTGTATCTGTAAGTAAGTCTACTCGAATATTATGCTAACTTTTTATTTATTAAAATGGAATCCAATATGGAAATGAAATGAGCATAAGCAGTTAAATTTATAATGAATCTTTAATCAGCTAAGCAAGGCCAAAAATTTTAAATGCTGGGCAAGGGCTGTCACGGAGATTTATGAAAGCAGTGACAAAATAATAATTTCCCAGTAAATACAGTGCACATGGGGCAAATGGCAACTGGTCATCCTTCCACACCGCCGTAACAGCAAGAGGCCAGTACATCGATCACACATCAGCTGTGTTCTCTAAATGAGGTGCAGTTTGGTCTCAAATCACTCTTCTGAGAAGAAAACATTGAAATTTATTAAGTGTACACAGAGTTAACAAATATATTTCCAAACAGCTTAGTATTAAACATTTTGAAGCTCTTTATATCCAATAGTGAACATTTTGCATGAAATCTTCACTGTGTTGTCAACTATTTGTGGCCTGTTTTTTTTTTAAAGAAAAAGAAAAATAGTTGTCTTCCCTAAGCTCCCAATTTAGCCAGATTCAGTCCCAAAGGAAATGAAAAGCAAACTAAAACAAATAAAATTGGATGGCGCCAAAACCTATTGTTTGGAGTGTGTTGGTCTGCCTTGATTTTATTTTCTTTAATCTAGGATATTCGACAGATGGTATTCTGAGATGATGGCAAGGCACCTCTAACCTAGCCTTTCGGCAACATGGCGCCCCCAAAAGTTGAGATAGGGGTCTGTATTGTACTGGTGAGATCCACAGTACCACACTCAGCATGCTGAGCTAAAAATAATATATTTTTTCCTAATACGTCCAGTTTAAAAACTTCTCATTAACACCAAAAATATTGAAGTCTAATGGATAACTAATGTTTGCATTGCTGCTGCAAGAAAGAACACAACAGCCGCCTTTGCCCATGCTTGGCTAAGTATGAGGGAAACACAGCCCAGAAACATGGAGGACATCAAGTTCCGTCCGTTAAAAATAGGAAGGACTCTGTTGGAAATGGATTTAGGTAGTGCATTTCTTGTTGGCTGTAATGACTGAGTTTTTCATTTCTTTTTAATTTTATTTTTCCCAATAATGAGGATTCATAGATGAAAAAAAAAAAGATGAACCTTAATCAGGCCCACAAGGCCTACAGAAATCTTTGGACCCACTTTCTCAAAAACCAGTGGGTCTTGCTCGCTGGGCAAGGCAAATGTTACCATTACCAGTAAGCTTGTGATATGTATAAAACACACACGCACACAAAGAAACTAGAGAGGATGCCAAACACTGATCGTAGAAAGCTTTCCATGATTGTGTTTGACCCTTGTCCCACCCGGGCAATGGCCATCTTGGGAGCACAGTATCTGCTACTGGATACAGCATGTATGTGTGTTTAATCAATAATGTGAGCCGGAGACAACAATCTTAAATCTTTATAGATGCGATTTGTCGTAATAGGTTTAGAAGGCTTCCCCCCATTCCCTGATTTGCTCTCCAGTCTATGCCAACTGCAACATTTGAGATTCCGAGGGTCACAATCCCTGCCAAAAGGTCACAGAACAGTGGAGTGAGCAGCCTTGTAAAAAGGAGAAGAGAACTCCAGGATAGCACAGGTTTACAGCGTCTAACTAGAAATTACTCGATATTATCTGTGGGCTACAAAATCGAACTGAAACACATGGATTTCGCTGAAACGGGACTCAAAAAGGGTTATGGGTAGCTGTCAGCAGGCAAAGGTATAGAGTGTACTTGTGAAGGACGTCATTCACAGAAAGTGTCACAGTCACAGAAAAGAGAGTAAAAAGGCATTCCATATCTGGTAGGGCATTCCATGGTCTGAGTTAGCTGGTTGTCCACGTGTCTTCTTGTCGTGGGGGGGCACCCACAGGTTCAGATCTATCCACTGCAGTACAAAGACGTTTCAAGACAGCACAAAGCCAGCATCAGCTTGCTCCCGCCGCTTGGCAGCCACAGGAGTAGGAATGTCTGGGAAGGAGATAAATCGCTCAGCGGTGCTCAGGACAAGTAAGTCACAACGCCCGCGAGGATCTGGCTATGTGGTCTTGCTCTTGTTGACTGGCTTGCCTCCATTCATTATTGCAGACGCACTTGTGCTTTTACTCGGCGTCACCCCAGCCTTCGGGACCGTTTCTCCAACATCGTGCAAAGATGGTTCTCGGTACATGGCGACTAGGGATGGGGAGAAAGGAAAAGGAAACATTGTCTGGTTACATGTAAGAATGATGGATTTTCCTATATGCACAGACTTCTAGGATTCTCTCCAACCTGTGTTTGCCCACATCGCATTCCCATCCATAGGAAACTCAAGTTTTAAGGTGGTAGTTTCCGGTTCTCAAGGGATATCCCTTCCTCTGATTCTTGTAACTAAAATCTGTGCCCAGGTGTGCCGAAATTTTTGTCTAGCAGAGAAGATTTCAATGAGAATTATCGGGGCCTGTCATGTGGCAGATACACACACACACACACACACACACACACACACACGCACACACACACACAAGTTGGGGAGGAAAAGAGAGATGGACAAAAAGTGTATAAAGACCACAGATCTGTTCTTCTTTTATGCTAAGGATTTAAAATCCTATACATGCTAAGCTTAAACAACTTAAGGAAACACATGTGCAAGAGAAAGGATATTTCTAGCGCTCTATGGAAGTTTTCTTGTAGCTAGGGCAGACTTGCCAATGTGGTGAACCAAACACTAAACAAAGCTTATAAGGATAACATACAATGCATCTGCTCTGCTCACCTTCCAATGGCTTGGGTAGAAAATGAGCTGCTGGTTTGGTTTTCTTTACTCGATTGCCTTTCATAGCCTGCCCTTCTTTATTTAATCCCAAAAACCAGGCTCTACCAGATTCCTGTTGTCTGTATAGCATGGATGAATAGATTACATAATAGTTTTCAAAAACGGATTCTTTAAACTTGCATTCAGGGGTAAAAAGTTCCTGTTGAGAGAAAAAGAAGAAGAAAGTTATAAGAAAGAAGGGAATCTTCATTGTGTTTTTGGTTAGCCCTCCATAAAGTCTTCTCAATCTTGCAAGTCTTCTGCATGTATAAGAAGACAACCAACTATCTCTGTTCCAAGACACAATACTTGTACACATGTTCTTTTCAACACCAAATGGATTAAGAAGAATCCACTACTATTGGAATGCACACAATGCACGCATAAAGACCTACATAGTCTTTCATGAAGAAGCTTCGAGTCTGAGAGCAATCTTAGTACTTAAGAGTGCCATTCCACAGAGCAACACCATCACAGCATTGAAGTAACATCCTACGGGCACAATAAAAAAAGCACAAATATAATGAATATTTTATCATCTGTTTTACCTATTTCAGTAGGAATAATCATGTGATCTTCTGTTACCTGTCATTAGTTAGTTAAATCACCAGTGCTATAGGGTGATACATTTTTTTCCTCTAAAAAGAAACAAAGCAAAACCTCAAATTATACCAGTGATAATCAGGTGGCGTGAAAGTTACCCACTGGAGCCATTGCTGGTCGTAGCGATACGAACTGAAAACAATTGTTTAGTTCCATGGTTTGGAGAGGCACTGGAGCTCTCAAAGATGAACAGCAAAAGTTTCCATCACGGAACATCACCAAGCACTTCTGGGAAGAGTCTAGCGCGTTAAATACAATGGGGTGACCGCTAGGGTTTGCACGGACTAGTGAGCAGCACACACCGCTTACCAGGTAGGATTATCATTAATTTTGCAAATATTCACTGATGATTTTATGTACTTGTAAAAAAAATTCTCATTTTAAAATGATTCATGGTGAATGTGATGACAGGTGTATTTATCAAGATGCATAAATGTCCATATACCTTTGTGTGTTATTTTTGGTAGAACTGGGGTATGAATTCAGGGTCATATGTTAAGAAAGCACTCTATCACTGAACCGTATATTTCTTCCTTTGGATTTTTTTTTTCTCAGATAGGGTTTCAAATTTTTGCCCCAGTTGGTCTCACTTTACAGACCTTCTCCATCAGCCTCTCTGGTACCTGGGACCATGCCCAGCCCCCTATATGCATCTCTGAAACCTCTCAATTAAGTAAAATTTAAATTCAGGTGTTGTACTTACAGGCCATGAAAACACTTAGCTAGTTTAGGGAGCTGTTTCTCCATAGGCGTAACAAAGTTATTCCACATATCCATGCCACCCAGATGTAAAATAGAGAATTATTTTTGTCATTGACCTTGTTAAAAATATCACTGCCTCAAAAATATACATCAGGTTTTAATTTTACTTTAATGGATTTTACTATTGTAGCAAATAATTTCTTTTTCTTTACAAAACATTTTTATATACATTCTGAAAACGATACCTTTTAGGAGCTGAAAAGATAAAAATCATTGAGTTGAATTTATGCTAATTATAATAAAGAAGGTGCCAGAATTTCATGTAGAAAATTTCTCTCTATATTTCCCATGCGTGTGACTTAGCAAATGGTATCCCCAGAAGAATGCAATTTATTCAGCATACTCCATAAATTTAGATAATTCTCTTAGAATTTTCCCAGAGGGGGAACAATATTTAATGGCAGAGGATAAAGACTGATAGCGTGATCAATATGATGAGATTCATGACTGCACAGATCTTGCATTTGTTGGATGACACTACTTCAAGATTTGAATACCATCCCACCCAATCAAATACCTTTGTCTCCTAATAACTTCCCCTTCTCCAAATAGTTTCCTATTAGTTCTTTTAAGAATAAATTATAGCCGGGCGCTGGTGGCTCACACCTGTAATCCTAGCTACTCAGGAGGCTGAGATCTGAGGATCGCGGTTCAAAGCTAGCCCGGGCAAGAAAGACCGTGAGACTCCTATCTCCAATAAGCCACCAGAAAACCGGAAGTGGCGCTGTAGCTCAAGTGGGAGAGCGCTCGCCTTGAGCTGAAGAGCTGAGGGACAGCGCCCAGGCCCAGAGCTCAAGCCCCACGACCGACAAAAAAAAAAAAAAAAGAATAAATTATAATCTCTCTAAGCCAGGGTCTCAGACATGCTTCAGAGAACACACTAATAAAATGTCATAATTCACAATTAGCAGTGAGGAAAACAAAAATGGAAAGCTGCGTAGCTGGCTCATCCCAGAGAGACTAACACACACCATGCTGCCCAACTAAACTTTCTAGGTCAAATAGATGCATCTTGGGCATATTACCAGTTGTTTTATGAAAGACAGGCCAAGGCATGTCTACTAGTAGCTGCCTCTCCACAAATACCAAGGAGTAGGATGATAGGAGCTAGCCTAGGAGACCAGTCAGTGGAAGTCAGGGCTGTTAGCACCTAATCTGAAGGTGCCAGGTCTCTGACCAGGGCTTGTCTCATGTTAGTTAAGGAATCCATAGTGTCCAGCCTTTCTCTAGGCATACAAAGACCTCCAGCTTTGAAATGTAGATCCCTAGCCTCACACAATTCTCATTCTTATATTTTTATTCTTATACTTTCCAGGATAGGCAAAAGATAGAACAGGCTGAGTCCATCAACATCAGCGAGTTGGGAACCTGCTGTCTCCATTCTGTATTGATTTACTGGGACAATTTTTCTTGGATTTGCTCTTCAATACTGACTGGGCCAAGGGACAAGGCAGAGATGCAGCAGCCTGTGATGTGACAGTTGGAGACCTCCAGTGGAAATGGCAAGAATAAATAAATAAGATAGAGATGATAGATAGATAGATAGATAGACAGACAGACAGATAGACAAATAGACAGACAGACAGACAGATAGAGATAAAATAAGAAGAGAAGGGAGCTCAGGTTACCCATCAGTGCTGCTGGGAATTTGCATTGTTCTCATAAATGGGCCAGCACTCCCTGTATGGACCACTTGCCGACCCCTCACCCCAACCCCGGAGTCATTCTCAGAAGTGCCTAATAGAGCAATTCTCAGCGGAACTTCACCTCTAGTCCTATCCAAAACTATGTATTACCCTGGGCAAGATCTTTTGCTGCAATTGCCTGATTTGACTTCCTTGTTTGACTATACTTAAACCCCCATCCCCACTTAAGCCCTGATCCCCACTTTCTGCGCCCCTTGTCCCTCTGACTCTGGAGTTACATGGCGCCCCTCCCCAGTGATGATTAAATACGAGCAGACCTGTTGAGCTGTCTGTCTCCTTTCTCTCCTTCCCTCTGCTTGATCGGTCCTCACATGGGAAGGTCTCATGTGCAGTTTTTATGCTGGGTAATACAACAATTGTAATAGTGCAGTGCGTTCAAGCTGGCAGTCATAATAGGAGAATGCTTGTTTAAGTTTATATTTAAATATAAATACTTGGAAACTGCCACAAAGAGATAGATAAGGCATCTGATGTGTCTGTTTCTCCTCTTGCCAGCCTATATTTAGAATCACCACCACTTCAACAATCAACTTCCAGCAGAAGCTTGAGTATTAATTTGCACAAATGCCAAACTAAGTCATCCAATCACAGAACAGAAAAAAAAAGTTTTCTAAAAAAAATTACAATTAAAAAAGAAATTTCATATCTTCTTGTATGTTGTGGTTGTTTTAGAAATGAAAGCACCATCTGTGGTGTGCTTATTATCTTCAACAGGAGCTGCAGAGTTCTTCTTCTCTGGGAAATATCTTTGATTAGGAAAACACCCCGATGGGCCATTTGCATGTACAAAGACAGGATTCTGGGTTAGAAACAAAAGGAAAGGAACTCCAAAGGAATGGATTATCCGTAAGCTGGACAGGTTGGCAGAACTACAGCCTCAACATTGAAAGAAGTGACCTTGAGAATCAGACACAATGGTCAAAGGAACTGAGATCCTCACACCAAAACCACTCAAGACCTGTTTTATAATCATGCATTGTGGGAAAACATGCATTTCCATCTGCTCAGGAACTACCTATGGCTGCCTTCATGCTACAAAGTTCCAAGAAGAGGAGCTGGGAGATCATAGAGTCCACAAAGCCTGATGTTTTTAATTCCTGATCCTGAGACAGAACAGCTAAGGGTAGGGTAAGTGGACAGACAATTAGAAAATATCAAAAATTATGCAAGGTTCCACAGCTCTGGAAACAAGATTAAGAAATCACTAGAATTGCAAAAGATCAAATTATCTATCCAAGAACCTACAGACCAGTGATCTTTCTTTCTTTCTCTTCAGCTTCATTTAAAATAGATAGATTAGATAGATAGATAGATAGATAGATAGATAGATAGATAGATAGATAGATAGATAGATAGATAGATAGATAGATCCAGGACTTGGAAGAATTACCTGAAAATAACTGTGGAGAGCAGACATTCATGCCACAATGGAATTCCCTGCCTCTATCTGAAAGAATTACATTGCCCCATTTGTTAAGAAATGGAAAGACTTGGAAACAAATATATTAAGTAAGTCAGGCCCAAAGAAACAAAGGTCCCATGGTTTCCCTTACTTGCAATAACTAGTATATGTCTGAGACAAGCAGAAATGGTCAGATAAGTTGATATTAGGTAAAATGAACCCCAAGATAAGGACTCAAATGGTTTTTCTTTCTTGCTATTGTTTCTAACATATTTATAAGATAATTTCCTTTTTGCTTTGTATGTCCCTCCCCCACAGCATAACCCCTGTTTTCATTGTATTTGGTGTTGGTATAATTTGGGGACGGGAAGGGAAAAATAAATTATTTAAATAAGGATACAGGTGAACCCATTGTAACAATGAGATATACAAGACGTAATGTCGAAAAACGAACTTTACAACTTTGGGGCGCAGGCTGGGGGGCGGATGGGAAGGGATAGGTAGGGGAAACAAAGGAGGAGGCAACAATGCTTGATAAAAAATGTACTCATTACCTTGCTCATGTAATTGTAACCCCTCTTTACAGTATTTTCACAATAAAAAAGTCTATCTTCTCTCTCAAGGCCAACCCAAACCTCTTGTCTCCTTGCTTAAATGATCATATCAAAATAGGATAATTTGTAAACC